AGTAAAAGTGAAATTGACGTGAGATGATAGAAAAAAAAATTCTTACTTATGCATGAGTTTAATAAAAAAATGATGCACGTGCCGTTGACGAATGAACAATACCATAGATCATAGCAGCACCTGGTTGACAATACGTAATGAATGAATTTTCCTATAACGAATAAAACATCATCTTTTTTGTGTTGGAAGAAAGATAATAAAATTAATTGTTCCTACACGATTTCATTGCCAATAATTGAACTGCTAAACATTTAAGATGATGATGAATATGGCAATGTAATCGAGGGTTACCATTTTTTCACAACTGAAGAACATACTGGTAGATAATAAGGAACCGACGACGCAATACCATATCCAATTCCGTATCCGATTCCGCATCCAGTTACATATCCAATCGTGTATAAAATCCCATATCCAATTCCGTATCTGAATCCGCAATCAGTTCTGTGTCTATTTGTATAACTAGTTCTGCTCCTTTGTACAATTTCGTTTCCAGTTCCATATCCGATTTCGCATTCAATTCCGTATTCAGCTCCACGTCCAGCTTCGCATCCAATTCCGTATTCAATTGCCTGATTCATACTGTCACTTCCATCAGCTACTGTTTCTGTTTGAGCATATGAGCTAGTCTGGAAATTCTCAGATGGCAAAATAACAAGAATCGTGTATTTCCGTTACGGTACAAAGTATGATTTTTTAAAAAAAGTGCAAGTTATGAATTTCTAAAATTTTTAGCATATAAAAGAACATAAAGGCAGCGTTTTTTTTTTTTGTAACAATCAATCAATAATGTAATTTAATGGCAATGAGCCTAGTGGTCATTCAAACTTTCATGTTATTTTATAATCAAACAATTGTTTGAATAGAAATAATGTCTAATGTTGGTTGACCTGTTGATCAACACGAGCTAAATATCCAGTACATACCGATGATGCCCCAATGGGTCCTGACAAGAATGGTAATGGTGTATCGCTAGTTCGAATGGTATTTACTATTGAATAATAATTGTTCGATTTAGTGTTCCAGTTATTGATTAAATTACACGGAACAAACGGCAATGCATTCGGATTCCACACAAAATCCTTCCTGAAACTGTATCATTATTCTGTATGTTTGCTGTCAATCTTGGATCTATGTT